CGCACACCCCCACGCATATATTCCATTGCATCCAATAAACCAGATGTGGTCCCTCTTCCCTAGGGCTTTTCCAAGTGTCCTGTGGGCGATGCAGAACCTTGTCGTTCCCCACAGCTTGCTCTGACTCGGAGCCAAGCTGTGCTCTGCAGACGAGCACCAAGGGTGCTCTGACTTCCTCTCCGGTCCTTGCACACTGACCCCGCCTCTTGTTAGTGCTTTACTTTTCGGTACCCGCTGCCTTCTGCATTGCTGGGACAGTGTGCAGATAATAAAACATGCGCGTTTTTTTCCCCAGGGGTGTCGAGCCTTTCGATAAGCCAAATACGGTGTACATAGAGCGGCATGAACCTTCTGGGGCTTCGACTGTCATTCGCAGCACTGATTTCTTCCAAACTCGAGAAAATAAAGAGATTATCCTGGAAGACGTTGAAGACTTCCAGCTCAGGGACAAATATTTGTTTGCCACAAAGTCTGTGGTAAGTATCATTGGAGTAAATCACTGCTGAGGATGGCGACTGACACTTCAGCAACCTTCTCGAGCTTCTCTCTGTGTCTCTGGCATGGCCCTTTTTGAATAAACCGTATTTTGTCAGGCTGAGCTGGGAGAAAAGCGTTTCGTCTGAGCTCTGGAGGCCAAACACAGCTCTGTTATCAGCCCAGAGAGTCATGTGGAAAGAATCTAGCTGCACTGCATTGAGGGCCTGATGCTCTCACTCGATTAACAGATAAAGGAAGTCAAAGCAGCCTGTTAATACGCAACTGTCATCGCCAGCGCGGGCAGCGGCTCTGCTTTGAACTGGGACCGGTGTCTAAAACATGGGGAGAGCCTTTGCCAAGGATGACACTCCTGCCTGTGGTATCACATGGCCTGCAGGCCTCACGTGCAGTTTGCCACAAAAGCGTCAGTCAGGCTCTCTGGAGCTGCCTTCATCGCTTGACCCTATGCTGCCGTGGAGAACAACCCCTACAGATCCCGCTCCCCCAGCAGGGCTTGGAGCAGCAGCATTTTCATGCACTTCGTTTCAGTAAGTTAGGCAGAAGTAGGTCAGGCTGCAAAATGCCGAAGCCCTGGAAAAAACAAAAGATGCCAGCAAAGAAAGGCAAGGCAGAGGACCACAGGGGCGCGGGGTGGCAGCGGAAGGACGGGGGATTGCCTTGATAGCTCTTTGGTTAGCAGACCACTTGTCCAAAGGGATTACAATCAAAAATGGACCAGACCCAAATAGCCTAACTTACTCCAGTCTGGTAAGAGAGCTGGATTTTTAGTTTGCTTTTCTAAGCCAAGAGGTCGTAAGAGAATAAAGGCTGTCTTTCTGTCCCGCTGCAATCCAGTCCCCCAATTCTTTTTGAAGCTGTTGGCCAGTTTCAGACAAATCTGAAAGAAAGAGGACATCAAGTGTTTTAGCTGTGCTTTCACCGAGGGGAAGCCCTTTATAGGCAGTCAGAGACACTACACTGGGGAGGGCCGCGAGGTTCCTCCTACAATTTAAGGAATGTTTTTCTCTTTAGAAGATGCACGCGTTGCTTTTTCCCCTTGCTGCTTCTGTCAAGTCTTTTTTAAGAAGTCCATTGCCATTTAGGCAATGTGCAAAACCATTTAGTGTTTTGTAGGCAGTTTGCTCTGGCCACGGGGACGGCCACGGTTGTGCCTGAAGCTAACGGAGGAAGCGTTTGAGGAGCACTTTCAGTTTCTCAAAGATATCTCTTGCAGATTGTCTGCAACTTTTAGAGCCCATCAGCCTGGCTTTTTGCCTGATCAGGAGCCCGCTGTGGTTTGGAGAAGATTTTATCTAGGTTTACTGTTGGTGTGAGGTAAAAATGCAGGGGGTGGGATCTGTCTCTGCAGAGAAACCACCCCATGCAGAAGCCAGACTCAGGAGGCAGAGCCCTAGAAGTGTGAAACAGGACTGAACAATTATTACCTTTTAAAGCATGAACTAGATTTGGGGATTCATGAGTTGTTTCCTCTTTTGGAGAGCTCAGGGTCACAGGGTCCACCTTCAAGCTTTCTCCTGCAACTCTAATGGTCAACTGGGGGGACCTGTGGTCCATACTGACCCCGTGCCGAGGCAAAGGTACAAAGCCAGTGGGCAACCTGAGAGGCTTAGAAAGAAATTAGCCTGGCTGGGTCTTGCGTCTGAAAAACCCTGGCGCCGAAATGGCCAGATACCCCTGTATCAGGGATGGAGCGCCTTGCGCTGAGCCTCGGCGCTAGCTGGAGCGGCGCTGGGTGACAGCCCAGCCCAGAAACCCGGGGCAGGCGTCTCCGCCGCACGGGCCTCCCGACTTCTGTTCCTTTCTGTGGGAGTCCCAGTTGCTTAGCAATACAGACCCTGGGAAAATCAGGCCACTTATTTTTGGAGCCTAAATCTGGGTTTAGGTTCTTACCGTAGGCATCCCATGTGAAAAATGTTGCCCCCCCTCCACTCTTTTTCCCCCCTCCTCTTAAACACTTGTGCCTTTTAATTGCCTCAAATCATTAAAAACGTGAAGGAAAGCACAGAGACTGCTACGCAGAAAAAGGAGGAATTAAAACCAGCCGTCTTATCTCGGCCTGACCTGGCAGAAAGGACGGTGGGAGGAAAGCTCCCCTTTACCTGGTGCTAATCAGCCAGGAGCCAGTCTTTCCAGCCTTCAAGATGATGATAAGGGCAATCAGCTCCTTAAAGACACAGAAACCTTGACCCATGCTGGTGTCTCCTGTAGTGGCCAGGATGAGCTGGACTACGTGATAACGGGCATTTCTATAGGCCTCTCTCCCCTTCCCCAGCACTGGCCACAGCTTACGTCCACAGGAGTGAGCGACTGTGCTGCCTCTTAATAGTCACAGAGCGTGCAGGGCTTTTGCACTGTGCCCTCGCCCGGAGAGGAGTTGGATCCCTCCTAGGTGCTTTTTGCTGCCGCCGTTCCCGCTGGTCCGGCTGAGCTCCGGTGCTGCGGTTTGGTGCTGGGCAGGAGAGGGCAGATGCCGCGTGTTTGCTTGCTCCCCTGCCGTGCGGCTGGTGGATTTGCCCCAGTCTGCCTTTGGGCTGTTATTGGAGACTGGTGCAGTTTTGGGAATAAGACCTATTGCTAACGTTTCCCTCTGCTCTCCCGCAGCATTTATCCGGCAGCTCGCAGCCGGCCTCCGTGCAGCTCTGGGTGTCCTTCAACCGCAAGCCGATGCGAGTGGCCCAGTTCGTAACCAAGCATCCAATTAAGGTAAGCGGGGTTTTCCAGGACGACCGCCTTGCCTGGCCCTTTGCCAAGCACGCCCTCGGCTGTGGAGGGCAGTTCTGCGCTTTGCCAGATGCTTGGAAGGACCCTCGTTTTACCCCGCACGCGGTTCAGGGGTTCGGCCCCCTTGGAACAGAGCGAAAACTAATGGGAAAAAACGACCTCACGGTTTAAGCAAAGGTTACTTTATTCATGTGAATCATGTTCCTGCCACAACGACATGTACTTGAAGGAGCAAGGGACTGCTCTGGGCTAGTACTTGACTTGGGTTCATGTCTCTCTGCAAAGAGACAACCACTGGCTTTTTCCCAGCCTAGTGACAGCAGCTGGGAGCAGAGCCTAGATTTTCCGAGAGGGGTTGATCTCAGCGCTTTACACTTTGGCTCTGCTTTGGGAGACATGAGAGCCTCCCCATGGCATGGGGCGCTAGGTCACTGAACATACCTTGGCTCCACCAGCATGAGCCAGCCCAAAAACGTCTGTCTTTTCCGCAGACAGAGGATGCCCGGTGGGACAGCCAAGGTTTGCAAAGGGTCTGTGATACTCCTCCAGCAAGCCCCTGAACCAGCCGTGCTGCAGCTTCCCAGGCAGGCGGGGACGGAGGAAAGCCCTAGCAACGTGCTCGGCGTTTGCCAGACAAGCAGGGGGTCTGCTTCCCGCTGCGAGACGCCCCAGGCCTGCTCCGGATTCAGCCAGAGAAAGAGCTGGCACCGACAGGGCTGGGCAAGCCAGGCCGCGCGGGGAGGACGCTGCAGCGCTGAGCTGCTTTGGGGGGGCTTCGCCAGGGATGTGGGCTTTGAGGAGAGCTGTGGAGGGCAGAAGGTAGAGATCTCTGGTAGAGAAATGCAAGGGAAAAAGCAGAGGGAAGCTGTATGCTTGCCAAATGGAAAAACTAAAAATAGGTGGAAGGAGGAATTACTTTTAGCTATCTAAGAGGAAACGCTAACTCAACCAATAAACAAGCCCTGTTTGTATACCTACGCATATAAAGCCTGCACATCTGTCGTTTACGTCCCAAAGGAGTATTACATCGCTGATGCCTCCGAGGACCAGGTGTTTGTGTGTGTCAGCCACGATAACAACCGTACCAACCTCTACATCTCGGAAGCAGAAGGCCTGAAGTTCTCCCTGTCTTTAGAAAACATACTCTACTACAGCCCAGGAGGAGCGGGGAGTGACACCTTAGTCAGGTACCTTAGGATGCCCTGACTCGCGACAGGGCCTCCGGGCTGTGTGGCTTGATGGTAGAAGTCATGTTATCATCTCTACTCATTGTACCTGGAGCAACATGTGGGGGGCTTTGAAGTGTCTGAAAGCTGGGCTCGGGATAATTGGCTGGGGTAAAAAAGAATATTGGCCAAAATCTCCCCTAGTAGCTGTTGGCTGTGTTTATCAAAGTATCCCCTCGATCCGCAGGCTTTCCCCACTCCAGGAACCGTCGAGGCCTGGAGCTGATGGAACCGCCGGTGCGTGTCCTTGCAGGTATTTCGCCAACGAGCCTTTTGCAGACTTCCACCGGGTCGAAGGCGTGCGGGGTGTCTACATCGCCACCCTGATAAACGGCTCGTTCAGCGAGGAGAACATGCGGTCCGTCATCACCTTTGACAAGGGGGGCACCTGGGAGCTGCTGCAGCCGCCGGAGTACACGCGTTACGGCGAAAAGATAGACTGCGAGGTAACGCTGAGCAAAGCCGGCTCGTTGGGGAAAGGGCAGAGGGACTGCCCGAGAAAAGCTCCCTCTAAAAGAGGTGGAAATGGCAATCACAGCGGGGGAGATGAGAGATCAGCCTGAAGCCATCTCAGGTGAAGCTTTAGCCCTGCTAAGACAGCGACAAGGATTTCGCTCCTTGTCCGTCTTTCACAGCAGACACCTAAAGTGTCGGAGCAGGTGGGACAGGGGCCCGGGCAAATGCAGGATGAAGGGTTAACGTCACTGCGTTTGCTTCTCCAGGCTTCTCAGGGCTGCTCTCTGCACCTGGCCCAGCGGCTGAGCCAGCTGCTGAACTTCCAGCTGCGTAGGATGCCCATTCTCTCCAAAGAGTCGGCGCCGGGACTCATCATCGCCACCGGTACTGCTCTCCTCCTCGGGGCCACAGAGGGGCTGCAGGGCCTGTTGTTCGGAGGACTTGAGGACTGTGGCAGCATCTAGTCTGTATAAGTAGCAAAAATAGGGAGTTTATAAAAAAAATCCGATTACAGTGCGTGTTTTGCCATCTCTTTTTCATCTGCAGTCCCAGCACAGTGATTACAGCATGTACGTTTTACTGCACCTTGATGACATTAGCAACCTTCCCAGTTTTCGTCTCTTCCTCTTTTCTGCCGCCATCAAAGTGAGGGGTTTCCTACAAGTAGAGAAATTAATGTCTGTCTCACTATTTTATTGTAGAAAACAATTTATGGAACATTTGCCAAACTGAGAGCACATTTTGTTTATAGCCATATGTTTCTCCCCCAGCTGCTTTTAAAAGTTATAATAGTCTTTAAAGTAGAGAGGAATTGGTTTATAGTATGAAAAATCAGCTCCTTGATCATTGTCATTTTACTCACAGAGAAAAGTAGTTTTTGGCTGGCTTCATTTTAGGTAATCTTTTTGTATACCTCGTGAGGAATGATTTTCTCATTCTCTTAGGCTCCATTGGCAAGAACATGGCAAGGAAAACCAACGTGTACGTCTCGAGCAGCGCTGGAGCAAGGTGGAGAGAGGTAAGGGCTGCCAGTTACCTATTTTTCTCTCTGGGATTTCCCTCCTCAAAGGCAGGCACCCCCAGGCGCAGACTTTCTGCCTGCAGGAGTGTCTGGAAAGCCTCTGGCATCTTCCAGAAAGATGGGATGTTGCTCCCAGTTTATGGATGCTGTTTACTAAGTGGGTGTTCTGGTCTGCGGCAGTGTCTGTGGCCTGCCCGTACATTTTGATGCGAGTGTAATATGGTATTTGGACATCTGTAAGCTATTTAATCCTGTGATTTCAGCGGCCTGCTTTTCCTCCCAGTAAGTGCTGCGCGGTCTGGGTTAACATCTGGGCAGCTGGAGAGGAGGTGGGGACGCGCCACGGGTCCGGCTGCTGCCGGAGCCCAACGTGGTGCGGAGGCTGCCCGGCGCCGCGAGAGCGGGCGCCCCGGCCTCTCCCTCTCCGGGGCTGTTGAGCTGAGATAGAAGTGCCTACAGCCAGGGGAAGGATACCCAGAAAGCTGAGACTTTCGCGCTCAAACCTCCCCGGCTCACAGACAGTTTGCTGTAGAAATGCAGTTAAAATACGCTGAGGAAAAGCGAACCTGCGGTTAGCAATGCCCAGCTCCTGAGTTACTCGGCCTCTTTGTCCGCTGAGCGGAGGTGCGGAACGACCCAACGCCGTGATCTTTCAGCTGTGGAATAGTAATGCAGCTTTCTGCTCTTGGCTTTTGGCAAGCAGCTGCTGAAAGCAGGCTGGAAGGCTTATTGGCCCCCACATCACTGGTACCGTCTCAAAACGCAACAAGAAAAAGCAATATAGGCAGTGGCCTTTGCGAGAACGTCCCCACGTGCCTTAGTGTGTACTACCAGCAGGGCCGAGCACGTTCGTGGCTTCTGTTTTCATCCTGAGCTGCACTGAGCCCCCCAGATAGGAAAGCAGAGGTGATTTTGTGTTGGTGGTCACTAGCTAGAGCTGGAGGTGAGTGTGAAATACAACAGTTTTCTTACTAGGGGTGGACGTGCAAGCTCTCTCCAGGGAGTGGTTTTTGCATGCCATGGCCCTGTTTATCTCTCAGCGTTTAAGAAACCTCACAGACTGAAAAACAAAACTTATCTGAAGTCTTAGGAAGGCAGCAAGTCCCTGATGAGCATTCAGAAAGCTTTGTAGACAAGAACTGCAGACTTGGAGGGGGAGAGATTGAATCTGGTTTCATGTAACGGCACTTTTTCAATTAGTTCTTACACTAGCGTACAACATATGAAGAGGAGAGTCCAGGGTGCAGCTCTGCTCTTAAACACAGCTATATATTTAGCGCAATTGGCCTGACTGCTCTTGACAACAGATGTTGGCCCATAAACACTTGAATCTCTAGTGCCTCCAGATATTTGGCTCGGCCTAAGCGACCTGAAACGTTAGCATGGGTCAGGAAGCATTTCTGACAGAGCGTGCTTTCCAGCAAAGCTTTTCTCTTAATTCAGCATAGCTCTGATGAGTGTGAGCTAAGCTGTAAGTCAAGGTCCTCCTAACGTGCTTGAGTGAGTCAGGGTCTCTGCAGCTAGACTTGGAGGTGTGTGTAATGTTCTGGCACTCCTTATCGTCATGCTCTGGAGTTTTTCCCTTTGCCACTATTTCTTTTCTCAGGCGCTCTCTGGGCCCCACTACTACACTTGGGGCGATCACGGTGGCATCCTGGTGGCAATTGCACAAGGCACCGAGACCGACCAGCTCAAGTAAGTCACCTGGCATGGCGCAGCCCTGCAGCGGGACCTGGGCTTCCTCTGTGGCAGCGTCCGGCCGGTGGCCTCTAGCAAGCCCTTCCCTTGACTTGTGCCTCAAGTCCCAGGCTTGCTCCAGGACTTTGCCTTTGTAACTGTCCCAATCCTCTTTCTCCAGGTATAGCACAAACGAAGGGGAAACCTGGAAAACATTCACTTTCTCAGAGAAGCCGGTGTTTGTGTACGGCCTTCTTACCGAGCCGGGGGAGAAAAGCACCATATTCACCATCTTTGGCTCATACAAAGAGAACGGCCACAGCTGGCTGATACTACAGATCAACACCACCGACGTGCTGGGTAAGGGGATGGGTGACGAGCCCTCGGCTGACACCGGGTTATGCATGTGTTACAGCTGTCCTGCCTCCACCCCTTGGTTTTACACTTTAAACACACACATAGGCATTCACTTAAAACCAGCCCATCCCCACTGCCCCACATGTGGCCACCGAGCATGACTGTGGAGGCAGCTAAGACCTTTACCTACCCTCTCCAGAGGTCTTAGAGCGAGGAGTGAGGTGCTCTGCTGATCTGAGATCTGAGGGAGAGGTTTTCAGAAGCCCAAGGTGATCTAGAGACGCTGGCCATGATCCAAAGCACGTCGTCATCTGAGGCTCTTCTTAGGCTCCCACAGGAGAATGTCTCCCATGGGAGATTCAATGCCTAAGCAGGAATCGAGAGCAGAAACGCCTTGGTAGCTCTTACCTCTCGGTCCCACTGCCTCACGGGACACAGGAGCCAAGCCTCAGGCCCTGTCACCAGCCTGCTCCTCTCCCGAGGACACCTCTGCAGGAGCAGCACCTGCGGGGGGATCTCCTGCTGGGGCTGTGGTTTTCTGCGGTTCTCGCATCGGTCCTGTGCCCCTCGTGGCTCACGTCCGCACGGAGATGGCTTCCGAAGGCAATCGCGTTTTCTGCGCTTTTGCCAACTCCCCCCGCCCCCATCACCGAGGGATTTGTTAAAAAGGAAATGGAACCGAAAAAAGAAAAAAAGCCCCTCTGAAGGCATGTGCCTATGAATGTTTTATAACTGATTTCAGCTTTGATTGCGAGGCAGCATTTTAATCAAAGAGCAGTTAAACTCAGCAGAGGAATTTACTTCACTGAAGTTTTTAAGTGACTCCCCTGACGATTTGTTAGGAACGGCTCTGTTTGGTAACCAGAATGACTCCATTTAAATGAGGCATTACAAATTCAGCGCGGCTGCGGTGGAGCGGTTTGTTGCCGTGTGTCACGGGGAGCCTCTCCTCTTCCTGCTACTGCACGCTGCCAGGTGACGTGCTGGGCCACCGGCCTGGGTGCCCCCGGCCCCCCCCTGCCCCGCCTCCGCTCCCCTTCCCCGCGAGGGCCCCTTTCCTCCCTTGTCGCCTCCCGGCACCTGGCAGCGCGGGCGGCTTTTCTCCTGGGGTGCAGCCCCGTGTCGGGGCGGACCGTGCGAAGCTGGCGTGCCGGGTGCGTGCCCACAAGGTGTCAAGGGCGTTGACTGCATTGGCCGCTCGGGGATGCTAGGCGGGATGGATAGGGACTGCCCTTTTCTGCCAACAAACTTCCGAAAAGCCAGCTCTTTAGAGGACTGCTGCATGGGGTGTAATGCTGGGTCCGCAGCTTTGCACAGGGGGCTTTTGGACCTCCTCCGAGAGCAAAACTCCCCTGTGCCCTGGAGCTCAGCGTGGTGCTGGGCACGGGGCAGGGCACAGCTCTGCACGGCCCCGCTGGGCACATGTCAGCAGCGGGGACAGAGGGAAATCGGAGCCTCATTCGCTTTTAAATCTTCAGTCTTGGTTACCGCAAGAACGGTGCCTTTCATTAACCCAACTTTGCCACTGTTCTTAGGGGTCCCTTGCACGGAAAACGACTACAAACTGTGGTCACCCTCCGATGAGCGAGGCAATGAGTGTTTACTGGGGCATAAAACCGTTTTCAAAAGGAGGACTCCTCATGCGACGTGTTTCAATGGGGAAGATTTTGACAGGCCTGTCATGGTCTCCAACTGCTCTTGTACAAGGGAGGACTTTGAATGGTAAATACCAATTAATTTCTTTTAGTCTGGATTGTAATTCTGAGATAAATATCTGTGACCAATCCCACAAAGCAAACAAACGTCCAATTTACTTAGCTCTTTTTATCACTGCTTGATTTTATAGCAAAGAGGAAACTAAATAGACTGAAAAACATCCTTTCATTAATAATGGGGCATGAGACTTAATTAATGTCTTTAGGGCTGTATGGGAACCTCTGAAAGGTTCTATAGAAGGGCAGAGTATTGTTAATCCATCACCTTCTTTCAAATGATGGAAGACAATTTCCTATCACACGTAGAGATCTTCTGCTAGAAAGCTTAGTGACCCTTTAGCCACAGCAATGCAACTCTTCCTGCTATATCATTTTGTTATAATTTACACTTTAGTGAAGCTGCACAGATGTCAGGATTAGGCAACCTTGCTTTGGCCGTCAAATGCGAAGGGTTGGGATTAGGAAGTAAACTGCTTTTCAGGGACTGGGCTTTCAGTAGACTCACGGCTAGACTGCTTGAGTGCCCAGTACCTGCAATTAAGGATAGGGTTTCAGACTTCCCTGTTAGGTGCCTAGAAACAGACTGAGGAGGAATCTGGCTTGTCATGGCAGATCGGGAATTAGGCTGGTGGGAGCAAATTTCTGCCCTACGGTCAAAGCCCTGGAGTGTCTGTAAAGTCAGATTGACCTAACCTTTTCCATAGCACTTTCCAAAGAACAAAAGCATTGTAACACCCACTTTACAGCTAGGAAAAACTGAGGCACACCCCAGTGAAATAAGACAGCTAGCAGGAGAGCTCGGGCTCGAAGCCAGATCTTCAGGGAGTGCTGGCTCCAGTATGGCTTGCTGCCTCATAGAGCCAGAGGAGAGTAAAGAGGCTAGCGTGGCTGCATTTTTCCCTTCTTTCCCTTCCCTCCATACATCATTCTTCTCTTGGCAGTGACTTTGGCTTTAAACTGAGTGAGGACCTGTCATTAGAAGTTTGTGTCCCTGACCCTGAATTTGCCGGAAAGCCGTATGACCCGCCGGCGCCTTGCCCCGTGGGCTCAACTTACAAGAAGACTCGAGGGTATGTGTTATACCTGGGAAGGGAAACCTGATCTTCTAAGCGCTGGGATTTATGCTACTGGTGTTAAAAAACACACAAGTGGCAGTTAGCAGAATACATGTGCGGGCCTACAGAGCAACATTTAATTTGCAATTAAGAACCGGTGGGTTGCAGTAGCTGCGCACGGTGCTATATCAACAGCTTTCTTGGAATAAACTGCCTGGCTGTATATGTTGCAGGTACCGAAAGATCTCTGGGGACACGTGTGCAGGGGGAGACATCGAATCGCGGCTGGAAGGGGAGCTGGTGCCCTGCCCGCTAGCTGGTAAGTGCGTGCAGGATTACCTCGGCCACAAGGCCTTCATTCATAACGACCTTGGCTGGTGATGGAGGGACCATGCCTAAATTCCCAGAGGCTTCCCAGAGAGAATCTACAGAACAGGAGCTAAAATGCCTCAATCGGTGGAACAAAAGACACAAACAAAACCAAAAAACATTATCTCCCGCCCTGTCTAGGGAAAAACCCATCTGCGGATACTGCCCTGAGATGTGCCACCGCGTGCACGGGCGCTGGGGACAAGGCCAGGGCAGGGGCTAGCCGTTGGCGCTCGCCCGCCTGCGCCCTGCAGGGCCCCGGAGGACGCCCGCACCGC